GGTGAGTCTCTTATAGACAGCATATAGTTAGGTCGTGTGTTTGTCCGTTCTGCCAATCTCTGTCTTTCGATTGCTGAGTTAAATCTATTTACACTTAGTTACTTATAAAGAGGGACTTACTTCTGTCATTGCACTATTTGTATTCTATATGCCCTATAGCTTTTTTTGGTCCCTCATTTCCTGCATTACTGTCTTTTGTGTTTAGCTGATTTTTTGTAGTGAATTGTTTAAATTCCTTTCTCATTTCCTTTTGTGTATATTATACAGCTATTTTCTTTGTGGTTACCATGGGATTACATTTAAGAGTCTAACTTTATAATGCTCTCATTTGAATTTATACTTTCAGTAACATACAAAAACTCTGCTCCTTTATAGCTCTGTCCTTACCCCTTTTGGTTACTGATATTACAGAATATCATCTTTACACATTGTGTGCCCCAAAACAAACAATTCTTTTAAATTCACTATTCTAAATTATGTAGAAAACAAAGTGTGGAGTCACAAACCAAAGATACAGTAATACTAGTTTTCACACTAATAATTTTTTCTTTAAATGTATCGGTCTCATGTAGAAAACAAAAGGTACAGTTACAAGCCATTGGGGGATGGGGAGTTGCTACTGTGCTAGCAGCTGAAATTGATCAAAGTGAAGGTAATTTATTCCCTGGGTCTTCCCCTGGAAGCTGCAGAGCCTTCAGCAAACCTCAGAGTTCCAAAACAGTTACATCAGACAGATTCTGCCAGTGCAATTGTCCTCTAGGTGGAGAGACAGATTTCCTGGTGCTTCCTACTCTGCCATCTTCCTAGAATCCTCTCCCTGCAACCCCTAACACTTACATATCATTTGACTACGTCCCACCATTCCCCCCCCCCGGCCCCAGGTCAAGCTGTCAGATAAGACCACAGCCCCGGGCAACAGCTTGACTGTAACCTCGTGAGAGACCTTGACAACGACGCTCTCCTTGTCCAAACTTCAGTAAGCCTCCTCTGAGCCCTTTTCCTGATGAGGCCTTGACCTTGGTCCCCTGTCCTTGCCAGGCCTGCATAGCCCAAGTGTAACAAGAATTCTGCTAAGTCAGTTTAGCAAGAATCTCCTCACCCTTGATATCTGATCATATTCTTCATTCTCTACCCTTGATATCCCATCACCCTGGACTGCCTTCAGCAAGAATCCTGTTAGGTCAGTTTAGCAAGAATCGCCCTACCCTAGGTGTCTCCTCTTAGTAATATCTTTTTTTTTCATCCGCTAACCCCTTCATTCCACTTGTTGGCTGTAAGTCCCTAGCTGTCTTTGCTGGATTTAGAGTTGAGCCCAATCTTTCTCACTTCGTGATAGCCTGGACACCTATTGCAAGAGTCCTACTGAAGTCTTCCTTACCACGTTAACAAGTGCCAGAATATTTGTGCTTTAACATCCCTGAGCTAGAGGCACTCAGCAAAGCCATCCCCAGACTGCTGACCCATAGAAACGATGAGATACAAAATCAAACAACTGTTTGTTGTTTTGATCCTTAAATGTGAGGGTAACTTGCTATGCAGAACTAGAAACTAATGTATAGTGTTCACACTCTCCTTTCGGAGCTGGGGCTCTCTTACTTCCATTGCCTGGAGTGTTGGCTGCTTAGCAGTTGCTGTTTCCAGAAGTCTTTCTCCAGTGACTGCCTTTGGTAAAGAGAACTACCTTGCCTAAAAGATATACCCCTTCCCCAGGCAGTCTGCCAGCGAGGATTTGTCCATGCAGGAATATAAAGGCCTGGCTCCTTGGCCTCCATTGTGGGACAACTCAGCTCTACAGGGCCCTGAAGGGTCCACCGAGATCTCTGCTGCAGCTGCGTCACAGTTCAGCTTCTCCCTCCCCATTCCTGGTGCTCTCACCTCCATAAGGGGGTTTGTACCAGGGTCGGTCTCCAACACACCTCCTAAATGCAAATCTCTGCCTCAGAGCCTGCTTTCCGGGGAATCTGGCCTCAGCCATTATGTGACCTTGAGCAAATACTTTACCTTTCTTTATCCTGGTTTCTTTGTCAGCAAAATGGGAGAAACACCAGTGTCCATCCCAGAGCATTGTTGTGAGGATTAAATGAGTTTAGGTCCTTGGCATGGTGCCTGCCATACGGTCAGCACATATACATAGTTGCTGTTATTATTATTTCTATTATCTATCAAAAGGACATTCCAAGCTCCCTTCCCCTCACCTCAACAAACCAGCTAGTGCCAAGATCTTGAGGTAGCCACAAACTTGGCATGCTAGAGAGATAGAGCGGGGGTGGGGGGTGGGGGTGGGGGTGCATGAGGCCAAAGGAGGAGAGCAGCAGGAGATGAGGTCACAGAAGCAGGCAGGGCTCTGCTGGGCCCACGTGGGCCTTGGATGTTAGGGTAAAGAGTTAGGATTTAAATCTAAGGGAGGTGGGGAGCCATGGCAGATTGGGAGCAAATAAGTTACCCAAGTTGCTTTGGGGTTCTAAAAGCCCAGCCTGGGGGTGCCTGGGTGGCTCAGTCGGTTAAGCGTCTGCCTTAGGCTCAGGTCAGGATCCCAGGGTCTTGGGATAGAGTCCCGCATCGGGCTCCCTGCTCAGCGGGGAGTCTGCTTCTCCCTCTCCTTCTGCCCCTCCCCCCACGTGTGTTCTCTATCAAATAAATAAATAAAATATTTTAAAAATAATAATAAAAGCCCAGCCTGGCTTGCTGGGAGAGTCAGGGAAACAGCAGCGAGTGAAGTGAGGGAGACTACAGGAGTGATGTTCATGAAATGGGAGCGTGGGGACAGGTTTTGGTGGGAGAGTCACCCAGCTGCCCCCAAATTCTTTTTTTTTAAATGCTTTATAGTTTTCAAAATGATTTCACATAAACGAGCTCATTCGATCCACAGCCTCATAAAACAGATGGGATTATCATCATTTTACAGATGAGGAAAGAAGGAAGTCATAACCATTCTCCTAAGTGTCACTAAAAATTCTTCTTAATATTAAACACAAATATTCATGGCGTCTGTATATTCAATTTTATCCATGCCCCCATTTTTAGTCATTTTCTTATTGGCTACTTCTCAAATTAGGTTGGTCCCAACTTTACACAACTGAAAATACCACTGGCTGGAACATCATCATATATATATCTTTGTCTAAATATTTGTTTCCTTAGGATCTGTTACTAGAAGTGGAATTACTGAACTAAAACCTTAAACCTTCCCTATTCTGAAGAGCTGAAACAGTATAGGGTGTTTAAAGGTCTATTGCCACCCACTCCCCCAGCTTGTGGTAGGTCAGTCTTAGTACTTGACCAAACTGGTCACTAAAATTAGATAGCAGTTATGTGTTGGGTTTTGTGGGACCTGCTGGTTTTATCCAAGAAGGCTTGGTGCATTAGTCCTTTTCCTGCAAATTCCTTGTTTTTTCCTATCACCTTGGCCCAGCCCAGCTTGGACGAAATGCTAATTTACAAAGTATATTATTAGATATGAGAAGAAGGGGGCAAAGGACAGGAAGATCAGTACGAGTAAGTAGCAGCACAGTGGCTTTAGATTTATTTATTAGTTTACAACAAAGACTTAAAGTACCTACTAGTTGGGTGGTGGAAATTTCGCAAAAGTTGCATCACGGAGACTTTCTGAGAATTGAGCTGGAGTAGCCAAGATGGAGCTCCAGAGAGACAAAGATGGAGAAAATGCCTTTAAGGACTTCACAGCATAGTAACAGGTAATTATCAAATATTACCCCTAAGGAGTTTAATGGGCATCTCAAATTTGACATGTCCAAAACAAAAATCTTGATCTTCTTCCTAAACCTGTTTTTCTTTCTCTCAGACTTCCCTATTTTAATAAGCAGCACAACCACTCATCTAGTTACTCAAGCCAAAAATCTAGGACTCATCCTTTACTCCGCTCTATGTTGTTGATAGGATTCCAGCCGTTCACTAAATCCTTTAGAATCTACCCACACAATATAGAAATATCATAACTCCATCCTGGTGCAAGCACCGTCATTGTCATCTATAAAGTCTCCGAACCTGCCTACCCTCATCCACTCTCAACTCTCTAATCCCTTCTCCAAAAAGCAGCCACATTGGTTTTGTATACATTAGACCATGACAGCTCCCTGGTTAACACCCTCTGATGGTTTTCCATTTCACTTAGAATAAAATTCAAAATTCTTTTCATGCTCTGCATTTATGTTCCTCTGCATTATCTGGCCCTCACCTCCTCCTATTCTTCCCCTGGCTCACTCACCTGCTACACCGACCACAGGTCCCTCTGCTTAAGTTGCTCCAGGGCTCTTTGTTTGCATGGTTCTCACTTCTTCAGAACTCATTTTTTTTTTTTTTTTTAAATCGTAATCTCAGGCCTGCCTCACCTGGGCATCCGACCTAACATAGCCATGCGTCCCATCACCACTGCCACTTCCTAATCCCTTACACTTCCTTTTGTTTCTTCTCAGCACTTCTTTCTCTAATATCGTATTTGCGTGCTCATCGTTCATTGTGTCTCTGTCCTACTCGCTACTACGTCAGGTACCATTAGCGCAGGAACTTGATGTGTGCCCCATTCTATCGCACCGCCTGGAAACAGAGACGTTTATTGTTTGTTGAATGAATGATGAATGCATGCTTGTCACAACACTAATTATTTTACTGATTTATTCATTTGTTTAGCATATCTCCCCCAGGTGAGTGTGAACTCCGTGAAGACTGGGATCGTGCCCATTTTGTTCACTGTTATATCCCCTAAGCTTTGAACAGAGCTATAACAGTGACAAGTGCAAAGCTATGTTAAAGCGAGGTGGGCGCAACTAAACCGACCTAAGGAGCTATGGGAGTACTCACAGATAAAACTGCACCTAAACAAGTACTGAAAAGGGGCGAAAACCAAGAGGACAGAGTAAGGTAAGAGTCCCGGCAGAGGCAATCTCGCGAGGTGTTGGGCAGCCAAGACGGCTTCCAGCACTTGCCGCCACACCTAATATGGCGACCAGGGAGCGAGCGTTCCTGGGGGAAATTACGCGAGAGTTGCATCACGGCTATAGTCCGTGAATTGAGCCGGGGGTGTGGAGCAGCCAAGATGGAGCCGGCAGCCGGCGGACCCGGGCCACTGATCATGAACAACAAACAGCCCCAGCCGCCACCACCTCCGCCACCGGCAACCGCGCAGCCTCCACCCGGAGCCCCGCGGGCCGGCGGGGGCCTCCTGCCCGGGGGCAAAGCCCGGGAGTTCAACCGCAACCAGCGCAAAGACTCGGAGGTCAGGAGCTTCGGGGGGCGCGTATAGCACGGGGCGGCGCGTATAGCACCGGGCGGGTGGCCGCGGGGGACCCGGGTTCGGGGCCGCTTTCGGGTTCCAGCTGGGCTTCCCGGAGGGTTGGAAAGGGCCCGGTGGGAGAGTTGTCATTTTACAGCGAAAGGAGCAGGAAGCAAGGCTGGCAGCCCCGGTGCCAGGGGCGTGAAGCCGGGGTCCCATCCCGAGCTCGCTGTTTGCCAGAACCTCCCGGGGCCGGCGACTCCTCGTTTGCTTCTCTGGGGCCGGGGCTGAGGGTGCGGCCTCCAGGCCCCAGCCCCTGGGGAAGCCGCTCCCGGCCCCAGTTCGGGGGTGAGGAGTCAGTGGTCTGCGTGCGCTCCAGGGGGCGGGCGGCTGCACCCCGACCCCTAATCATCTCTGTGGGCTTGTCCTGTGGGCTCCGCAGCGTGCGGTGGGCTGCGTGTGTGGGCAGGGAAGGGAGCTGGAAGCCGGACGGAGCTAATTATCACTAATAGTACTACGCGCCCGGAGATTTTGAGAGTAGGAGGGAGTACCATTCCCTATTCAGTCTGACCTTAGCTATTTACAGGTCCAGGCCGTAGTTGGACAGTGCCTAGTGCGCCCGATGCCGAACTGTTAACGATCACAAATACACACTGTAATCAAGCATTAGGGCTCAACATTCCCTTTCTTGCTAGTGGGCTGCTCCTCCGGTTGTCTGAAGCTGACTAGTCACCTCACCCTGAGTTAAAGAATTCCTCCTACTCCCTCCCAATGTAGTTTTCATGAATGAAGACACACACGTCGCAGCATTTTAGGGCTTCTTAATCAGTACGTTCCCAGAGTATTTACTGTGAGGTCTCCTTCACCAGCGATAACTCAGAGGCTGATCAGTAGTGAGGCGCTTATTAATGAGAGGGAATTCCTCCTTGTCCAGAAGCAGTATACTAGGTCATACCAAAGGCTGATATGTGAAATCATTTCCTCTCAAGCTTTTGTATTTTGTTGGCAAGTGCAAAGCTCTGGTAAAACGTGTCAAAATTTGGCAAGTCCAAAATAGAGGTACTCTGAGCTTAAGGTGAATTATTTGAAAAAGCAATGAAACTGACTTTTTAGGAGCCTTTGCCTGGTGGGGTGATGAAGGATTATGAAAGTGGTGGGGGTGAACCCACCTTCATCAGGAGAGGAGTTACAGTTTAAAAACAGTTTAAAATTTTCCTAGGTAGCCTTGAAAGAGCAAATAAATACCCTTATGCGATTTAAATTTCTCCTTCTACCGTTTAATTTCCATATAGACACAACATGTGGAAGGCCAGCCAGTGAACACATTTAAGCTGAGAGGTCTGTTTCAATTTATTTTCTTAGAGATGCTGGTGCTGCACTCAGCTCTTTGGGGCCTACCTGGAATCAGTAGGCTAGGAGCTTGAGCAATGCCTGGGAGCCATCTCTTGATGAGAGCCCCCTTTGCACTACATAATTCTGATTAGTCCTTAAAAACCTTCAGGATAGATTTTCGTCATCCCCATTCCATAAATGAACTGAAGCTCAGTAACTTATGAAAGTATACACACTCTGTTGCCTCTGACAGTGTAGAGTTCTTCATGTTTTTTAGTGTCTGTGGGTTTGTTATGTCATTTTGTGGCTGGTCTTTGTCTTCCCAAGTAGCTTGTAATTAAGCCTGAGGACTTTACCTACTTCATCACCTCTTCTCTCTTCCCAGCACAAGGCTCTCAAGATGGTGTGTTCTCGGTGATCACCTATCCCCAGCAGTGAAAAGATTCTCTTTGTCACATTCTTTCCTGTGTGTGGGAGGGAAACCCTTCTGTTAGGCTGCCGCCTTCTCTGTCAGTTCTCACTGAAATTTGAGAGAAGGGCAGGAAAGCTGAGAATGTCAGTACTCATATTGTCCTGAGCTGTTGATGGCCTACTACTAGCCAGAAAGAAGTGAGGCTTCCGGCATCTCAGCACCATGTGGAACGGGTCATTCACTGCGCAGAATACATAGAAGCTCTGTGTTCATTTATCTAACAAGCGTTTATTTGACTATACACTCTTCATTCATTCATTCAGGCGAGGTAGCATGCTGGGCATTGTGAAGTTACTGGTGAGCAGAGTGGACAAAGTTCTCCTTCTCAAGGAACTTGCAGTCTCATGGAGAGGCAGACAGGAAACACATACCCATGCTGGTACATAATGAGAAGTTGTGCTCTTAAAGGAAAGTGGAAGGTGCTCTGCAAGGGCTTAATAGGGAAACCTGAGCTAGCCCCGGAGACAAAAAGTGATAAAAGCTCAGAAAGGGGAGGCAATGGTGTCTTGTAACACAGCAGCGTCTCTGGACGCATATGTATCTCTTCCTTTGGAAAGCACTCACAGTGGTCTTTGGCATTACTGCCTCCTTTTCTCCGCAGGGCTATTCCGAGTCGCCAGACCTAGAGTTTGAATATGCTGACACAGACAAGTGGGCTGCAGAGCTCGCGGGTAAAGCACAGACCTTCTTACTATCTCGAGGTGTTTGTTTTCTGTATTGGTCTTTAATAAAATTAAGAGTCAATGTCATTTTGGAGTTCATTTTTTCCTTTGGTTAGCTAGTAATGATATATATACATATATAGAATCGTATAAGCATGTGCATATAAACATGTTAGTTATGGGACTGAAGCTTTGTGTATCTCATACCTTTGGCTTTTCCTTTACTTTGGTGAAGCACCTCTGCTGTGTGGTCAGCTCAGTCGGCGGTGGCCCAGTCGCAGACAGTGACGCTCCTTGGCCATACGCTCTCCTCCCGACAGTGGTCTCTCCTAGAGCAGTAGGTCATGCCTGCATCTGTGCACGTCTGCCGCTGCCCCTCACATGTCACGTGAGGCTAGCCCGAGCTGCTTCTCAGGCCTCCACAGTGCAGGTCCTAGTTAGGAGGTCATGGCCACTTGAGAGACACATGTCCATGGTGGCAGTCCACCTCGTGTGGCATGGTGGGATTGATGTGCACCGGACTGGAAATGCCTGGATTTATGTGTAACGGGCATTCTGATTATCTGCTGCAAGGGGAGTCAGCACTCTCTCCATTATGCACGTCGGAGCACTAAGATCCCCTTAGTAACTGGATAGTCCAGGAGTCACTGTGACTCAGGGACAGAGTGGGGCCTAGAGGCAAATGCCTTATATTCTCTGCTGTGTATGAGACCTGCTATGGCACGTGGACATGGAGCTGATGAGACTTTGTTCTTGATAGAGCTTTACAGCTACACAGAAGGGCCAGAATTCCTGATGAATCGAAAATGCTTTGAGGAGGACTTCCGGATCCACGGTGAGATGATTCTCCGCACTTCTTGGTTCCTTTGACCCTTGCCGTGACAGCTGCAGAGCTTCTCTTGGTCACCCGAGTGCCTTGAGTCGTCCTGGCCTGGCCTGAGAAACCTGCCGAACCATGACTGCTCCAGGCCGCATGTGACCTTTAGGGTGGGCTTGCTGGGGCTCTGGTGGTGGCTTTTCAGAGTGTGAGTACTGGGGGAAAAGCTTTCTGTGATTAAAATTGCACCAAAAATAGCAGTGTTTCAGTCTGGAAATTCGTAGAGCAGCAGCGTGACCTAGAGAGTAACTTTTCTTTCTGAGTTTTCTGGTCTTGTGGCAGTCTTGAATTTGGTGAGTTAACATTGTGTTCATTCCATTGTGAGGATTTTTCTGGGCTCAGATGTAACTGGTCTCTTGCCCTACAGTAACAGATAAGAAATGGACCGAGCTGGATACCAACCAGCACCGTACCCATGCCATGAGGCTCCTGGATGGCCTGGAAGTCACTGCCAGGGAGAAAAGACTCAAGGTGGCTCGAGCAATTCTCTACGTCGCCCAAGGTACTGAGCCGGCCCCCAGGCCCTCTGACGCCGCCTTCGGTGACGTTGTCCAGCCCGATAGTGGGAGGGACTCTGTGAGCTGTGCCCTGTGTTTGCAGGCACCTTTGGAGAGTGCAGCTCGGAGGCAGACGTGCAGTCCTGGATGCGCTACAACATCTTTCTGCTCCTGGAGGTGGGCACGTTCAATGCGTTGGTGGAGCTTCTGAACATGGAGATAGAGTGAGTTGTTCTGAGGAGCTGGAGTAGGGAAGGGGAGGCAGAGGGCGAGGGGACAGAGCTGGCAGAACTCAGTGGTTTTGAGAAGGGTGAATGGGCCAACTGGGGCTGACGGTGTGGTCCCAGGCTCTATTCTGACCACTCAGGTTGAACTGTGGCCTCTCGGGCAGTCGAAGCACTCATCATAGAGTTTCAGTCCCCCCACTGGGTGGCCCTTGTCAGGGCAACTCCTCGTCTTCCTTCCTGGGGGAAGGCCTGACTCCCAAATCTCTCCTGCAGCAACAGTGCGGCGTGCAGCAGCGCGGTGAGGAAGCCGGCCATCTCCCTGGCCGACAGCACAGACCTGAGGTGAGGCATGCAGCAAGCCTGGGCTCCCTGAGAGTGAGATCAGAGCCGGGAGCCGGAGGGCGTCTTCGGGGGCCCTCGCTGTGTGTGTGCGCCTTCTGTGCATGCCGATCTCCATCTGCCCCGAGTCGGCCCTGCAGGGGGCTCTCCCTCGGTGGGACTCTGGGCTGAGACCCCACCCACAGGAAATCTAGGGTGAGCCACTTGATAGAGCCACAGTGACGTGTGGCCTCCTGCCCACACTGCTGCTGACGATACTTTGTGCTTGGTGAAACACACGACGTGGCTCCTTGGCTCCACCTTTGGGTGCACAGCTTGACCCCTGTCTCCTTCGTGATATTTTGTGGCCTCACAGGAAGTAATAGCAACTGCTGAACAGTGAGATCCCATTTTTGTGAGGCTTAGCATCTGTCTCTGTGAGTTTGGGAGTTTTCAGACCAGGCGTTCGTGGCGTTCCCCACTGCGGTCGGGTCCCTGGGCGCTGCCTGCTGGCTCCCGATTTCTGCTCCATCACGGTGGCACTTGCTTGTTCTTGCTTTGACCCTGCGCTGCTTCATCTGATCCGGCACCTACTTCCGCAGCTCACTCCCACCTCTGAGCTCCTCTTGCTCCAGGAAGCTTAGGGCCAGAAATGCTTTGGGCCATTCTTGTTCATATTAATCCATTCAACCATTGATGAAGCACCTGCTTTGATAAGCACTTAGCTTGATGCTGGAATACAAAGCAGAGTAAGATCTGGTCATGCCCTTAATAGCAGAGGACAAGAAAGGGCACCCCACGGGGCGCTCTGTGGGACTTCTAGTTTTCTCTGCGTCACAGCCCTCTGCCACTGACTAGCCTTTGTGCACATGCTTTCCTCCTGTTAGCTGGACTGTGGAGAAGCCAGGACACTCCCTTGCTTCCCCATTCTGCACCATTATGAGTTGGCTTTTGTTCCCAGGGTCCTGCTTAACATCATGTACCTGATTGTGGAGACTGTTCACCAGGAGTGTGAGGGCGATAAGGCTGAGTGGAGGACCATGCGACAGACCTTCAGGGCTGAGCTGGGTAGGGCCCTGCAGATCCTGGGGTTTTGAGGCCCTGCCTGGGAGCTGAGGCTCCTGGCCTTGGGGAGGGTCTTGTTCCTGCTGGTCCTGATCCCTTTGTGTTACCTCTAGGTTCCCCCCTGTACAACAACGAACCATTTGCCATCATGCTGTTTGGGATGGTGACCAAATTTTGCAGCGGCCATGCCCCTCACTTCCCCATGAAGAAAGTTCTCTTGCTGCTCTGGAAGACAGTGTTGGTGAGCACCTCCTTGAAGGGGAACTCAGCTGCTAGGGGTCAGGGCAGGAGAGAGACTTTGCACTGCATATCCTTTTAAATGTTGAATTATGTGAAAAACTATATATAATTTAATATATAACTAACCTATAAACTTTGGTTTAAAACAAAACAAAACAGCAGTTTTGCCTCTCTATAGCCAAAGAGGACTTGGCCCGTGGGTCAGAGTAGACTGTTGGCTCCCTGACTCCTGCAAGCTGCTTCTCTAGTCATAAAACGCCTTCTCCCCAGACAGGCTGCTTCCGAACCTGGAGTATATGAAGTCACTGGAGGCAGAAGTAGAGCTGGTGTAATTGGGTCCCCTCAGTCAGAGGTCACTTGAAGGAAGCAAGAGCGAGCCTTGTGCTAGTGCTGTCTCCCCCGGGGAGGGTGTAGAGCCTGTTTCTGGCTGGGGAAGGATTGGCTAGCACCCTTGGCTCAGGGGCCATTGTCAGTAGCGAAGCCCAGTGCCCTTCCCACTTGGAGGAGTGACCTCAGCAGAGAGTGGAGCTGTAGGTGGGATTCCTTGTCCCCTCGGGGCTCACGTCCTCCTTGCAGAGCAGGGCAGCTCTGCGGAGCCAGGCTCAGTGAGTTTGGCGCCTCTTTAGAGTGGTGTGCACATTTTGTTTTGGTCAGACATCCTCTTGGTTCCTCACAAAGCCTCACTGAAGCCAGAGATAAAAGCTGAATACCACTGGAGTTTTGGCTTCTAGGGGCATGTTGAGAGGAAGCTTTTTTTTTTTTTGGAGTATCTAAAAGTGTATCCCCAATTTGAAAGACTGGCATGTACGGCCTTTGGAGCATGTGAGTCTCACAGACTTGTCTAGGAACCTGAAGGGGTAGGCTCTTCAGTCTGCCTTCTCGACCAAGAGTATATCATACCTACAGAATTAAGCATGTCCACTAGCTCAGTCAGCCTGCACGTCTCCTTCCCTTGGTCTGTTTTCTCTGCTGCCACGTTGGCGTCACTGGATCCTCATGTGATCAATCCCTTGTTCAGAGATTGGTGCGGGTTGTGGTGTCACAGAGGGCTCGGGGACCCACTCGTGGAGGTGTTGAGCCCGGCCCCGTCCCTTGTCCACGATGCAGTGCACACTGGGCGGCTTTGAGGAGCTACAGAGCATGAAGGCTGAGAAGCGCACCATCCTGGGCCTCCCCCCGCTGCCTGAGGACAGCATCAAGGTGATCCGCAACATGAGGGCTGCCTCTCCGCCGGCATCTGCCTCGGACCTGATTGAGCAGCAGCAGAAGCGGGGCCGTCGGGAGCACAAGGTGAGGGTGACGGATGTCCCCTGTGAGTCCTGAGGGTCTCAAGGTGCACCAGCACATGGCAGCATGATCCCTGGGTGAGCAGGGTTGTTGGAAATCATCTCTGACCAGCTAGTCCAAATGAAGGCCTCTGGGCCAGGGACACTGTGTCTCTAGCCCAGGGTCCAGCTTATCGTGGGTACTCACAACATGGCACTTTTGAGGCACTGGGACAAGAAAGGCTTCGTCTTTTGGGCCCAGCCTTGACTTCCTCTCAGGTTTTTCCCCTGCCCTTGGCTCTGCCTACCACCTTTCTGTGTTACAGCCTCTCTAGCCTCCTTGCCCTTTATGGTTGCTCGGTTGGCGCTTGTCTGATTTCCCTTCCCCATTTTCAGGCGCTGATAAAACAGGACAACTTGGATGCCTTCAACGAGCGGGATCCCTACAAAGCTGATGACTCTCGAGAAGAGGAAGAGGAGAATGATGATGACAATAGTCTGGAGGGGGAGACATTCCCCCTTGAGCGGGATGAAGTGATGCCTCCCCCATTACAGCACCCTCAGACTGACAGGCTCACCTGCCCCAAAGGGCTTCCGTGGGCTCCCAAGGTCAGGTGAGGCTCAGACTTCTGGCACGCTTCTGGCTCCTGAAACCAGAGGCCTCCCACCCCCAGGCCTGGCACCTGGTCTGAGTCACCACAGGAGGTTCTCTGTGGGGCCAGGCTGACTTTGGCTCTGGGATGGAGCTCTTTTAAAGTACCCTCTGTTGGCCCAGAGGTCTCAGGGTGCTGGACTTGCTCAGAGAGACCCATGTATGGCTCTTGAGTCAGTAAGAATGAGTTAGCTCTTGGTTAGCCATACTATCATGAAGGGGGAATAGGGAAAAATGAAAACCAGGACATTTAACTGAACCCATCTCCACTCACGGTGGAGTTGTATGTGGTTTTTAACAGAAAAATTAAAGATTAAGGAAGAGTTTTTAGAATCATAAATAAGTTGTTTGAGATATGTGCGCATGAATCAATGGGTGGGAAGGTACCTGGATATATAGAAATGGTATCTGTTTGAAAAGGCACCAATTAGGGGCACCTGTGTGGCTCAGCCGGTTAAGGGTCTGCCTTCGGCTCAGGTCATGATCTTGGGGTCCTGGGATCGAGCCCCGCATCAGGCTCCCTGCTCAGCGGGAAGCCTGCTTCTCTCTCTCCCTCTGCCCCTCCCCCTGCTCGTGCTCTCTCGCTTGCTCTCTCTCTCTCAGATAGATAAATAAAATCTTTAAAAAAAAAAAAAAAAGGCACCAACTTAAGAAATAGGTGGACACGTGAAAGGATACAGAAGTCAGTTTCTCGATCTGAAACCCCAGTTTTCAGTGATCTGTGACGGTGGTACAGAACTAGTCCTCATGCAAGGTGTGCCAGTTGTTTAAAACGGACCCAGGACACACATGAAAATATCTGTGGTTGATAGGTCTAATTGTTGTAATAACTTTAAATATTTGAGAAATTCTTTTGAAAACAGACTTGTTAGTTGAATAAAGTATGCTTTTCAGTTTGAGGTAGCACCTTAATTTTACAGGTAAACTAGTTACACATAGTTTCAGGTTATTGATCCAACAATATTATAAAGGATGTTAAAATAGTCTGAAGATTTTAGTTCATTTGTTCATTTTTTCTGTTTATCTTTCCTTTTTTTTTTTACCTAAAAAGAAAAACAATGGTGGGAGACCTTTTCTTCTGGCTTCACAGTCTCTGGGCATTCTATGTTTTATTGACCATGACACCTTGAAATAACATTTAATAAAAACCTCGTTCTTTCTCTGTGACAGAGAGAAAGACATTGAGATGTTCCTGGAGTCCAGCCGCAGCAAGTTTATAGGTTACACTCTAGGCAGGTGAGTGTGATCTGACATTTTTTGAAGAAAGGTAACGGGAGTTCATTCTCCTGGCCTTTGGTGTTTAGGGATTGAGGCGAATTGCTGTCTAGGCTTAACACAGGGTTTTCTTTATTCTCCAGTGACACGAACACAGTGGTGGGGCTGCCCAGGCCAATCCACGAAAGCATCAAGACTCTGAAACAGGTAGGTGGCTTTGGATGAGCTTTTGACCTACTTTGGTCCCAAGTGAGTAAAGTGAGAGCAGTCAGTTGGGAGAAAGCTTTTGAAGACTGTTGTCTGCCTGAAGGAACCTGGGGTGGAGGCATAGGTGGACCATGGGGATACCCTTTGATACAGCTCTTTGTAAGTTCTATTTATTTTAGCTGAGTTTTTGTTGGGGACTTAACTGAGAGTTTATTAAAGATAGTACTTGCTAGGTGGAGTTTTAAAGGGCCTGATAAATAACCCTCCCTTTTCCAAGTCCAAGTTCTAAGACAGTTGAGATAGAGGAGTAGGCAGATGGTAATCAAATCAGCTTTATTGCTGATAGAGTGGACAATGAGGCATAAGAACACAGCAATGATATGCACCCTAATGCTTTACTTCCAGAATTAGGTGGACTCATCTACCCAGGGTCAGGCAGTGCTAGAACCCTGCTAAGCCTGGTTGAGGAGCAGAAAAGAACATAGGCTTTTCTTTTTTCTAAAGCGAAAAGAGAAGGTGGTTGGGCTCAGAAAGTCCTGTTCCTCCCCCGATACTCACTAGTCGGCGAAGGGAGGAGTGGGTATGTGGAAAGGGGCAGGGGAGAGTGGAGGTTTTTTACACGTGCATATCCCTCCATGTGGGAGGAAACATCAAGAGTGGGGAAGAGGTGTCTCCCCTGACAAGATGTCAGGAGTGGAAATTTTGATGTTTTTGAAATCTATTTTTGAGATTTGTAGTATAAGTGAGTTAGGTGGGCCCTGTGCTGCTAGGCATTTCTGAATCCTTGACGCTCCCTCTAATAGTTTTCCCCTGTCTCTATGGTTATCTGAAAAACCCCTTTCCTTTGTTTTTTTTTTCTAACCTATCGTGTGCTTTTTAGACTGGGTTTAAGAAATATATGCCCACTGGGCCACTGGGGTGGCTCAGTTGGTTAAGTGTCTGCCTTGGGCTTAGGTCATGATCCCAGGGTCCTGGGATCGGGTTGTGCATTGGGTTTCCTGCTCACTGGGGAGTCTGCTCCCTCTCCCTCTGCCCCCTCTCCCGCGCCCCTGGCTCATGCTCACTCTATCTCAAGTGAATGAATAAAATCTTTAGAAAAAATTAAAAAAGAAAAAAAAAGAAATATGTGCCCACTTAGAAGAATATTTCAGGATTTAAGGTAGGGATCTTTGTGGTGACTTAGCCCTCTTTGAGGAGATTGTGTCTGAAGAAAATCAAGTGGGGTCTTTGCCAGGGTGTGGGGCTTCGGCCAGAGAATGAGAGGTGTTTCTTTGCTCTCTCTCCAGCACAAGTACACGTCGATTGCAGAGGTCCAGGCACAGATGGAGGAGGAGTACCTTCGCTCTCCTCTCTCGGGGGTGAGTCCGAGGCCTTCTCTAGCCACCGGACCCCCAGCCGTTCCCAGGCACTGCGCTGGGCCCAGACCGCAAAGCTGCCCCAGGCCCTGCCCTCAAAGCTCCCAGTCCCGCTCCCACTGCAGGGGTGGCGTGTGTCTGTGTGGGGGTCCAGAGTGCAGACTCTGAGCCTGTCACCTGCCCCTGACTCCCAGCTCCACCACTTAGTAGGTGGCCACTTAGGCAAGTTACTGGCTCTCTCTGTGCTTTAGTTTTCTCACCTGTAGAATGGGAATAATAATAGTACCTTCTTCACAGAGTTGTAGTATGGATTAACTGAGTTATTACAGGTCAAGTGCCTCACATGTTGTATTATTCAAGGTTTGCTGTCGTTATTTACATCGGTACTTACAGATGCTCCTCTAGCCACCTAGAGAGCTGGCTCAGGAGACCAGTCGGGACAGGGGTTTGTATTTTTACCTATTGTGTTGAAAGGGAGAAGAGGAAGTCGAGCAAGTACCTGCAGAAACCCTCTATCAAGGCTTGCTTCCCAGCCTACCTCAGTACATGGTGAGTGCTCCTGCTTTTGGGGTGTTGCCTCCTCCTCAGGAGTACTCTGGGTCTGGGACTGTTCCCAGTACACTGGCCTTGAGAGCACGCCCTTCCAGTGTCCTTCAGCCCCTCCTGCCACCCACCTGAGCTCCTGCGGAAGGTCTGCCTCTCAGGGCTCAGCTCTGCTTTTCCCCAGATCGCACTGCTGAAGATCCTGCTGGCCGCAGCCCCCACCTCAAAGGCCAAAACGGACTCGATCAACATCCTAGCAGATGTCCTGCCTGAGGAGATGCCGTGAGTAGTGTTCCCGTGAATGGAGCAGGTCAGGGGCCGCAGGGTAGAGGGGAAAGGGAAGTGTTTTCCTCTCGGTCCCAGTCTTGCTAGGTTGTTTTCTCTGTTTGGCTCAGTTTCTCTGTAGGTTAAGTTTAGGGTATTCCTGGCTCAGAAGAAAGAAACTGTATCAGATTAAATGTTTAGTTTTACCGGTTGGGGAAGTGGCTTAGTGTGGTGGGCCTGGATTCTGGTATGGATTCTGCCGCTGAGTGAACTTGGGAAAAGTCTGCCACTGAGTGAACCTGGGGAAAAGTCGTTTCCTCCTCTGTAAAATGAATCAGGCGGTGTTAGACATTTCCCGAAACCTTCCCTCGAAAGCTGTGTGATCAGGGCATCCAGGAGGTGTAGGTTTAACTTCTGGACACTTTACCAGCCAACAGCTGAACCTGAGCTGGGTGTGGATTCTTTCCTCTTCACTGGTGATTTGGCAAGCAGAATATTTTTGGGTATCTCAGGGCGCTAGTGAAATCCTTAGGGGTTGTTTTTCCCTGTGGCGCTGACCTTGCTTTGATATGAGAGCAAGACGGAGCTCATTTTCTGCTTTGAGAAGGACCTGGGCCTTGATCTGACCTCCCGCCTGCCTGCCAGTACCACCCAGGTCTGAGTCTGGCAGTGATAGCCAGGTGAGGGAGGAGGCAGGGATTGGCTAATACCAAAGGGAGTGTCCCAGAACACTAGGCCATCATGATGATCCTTGGAAGAAGGGTTCCCGAGTCAAATACTAAATCTCCTCTTACAGAGATTTACAGTGAGAAGCCCTGAATTAAGAAACCGATTTAACTCAGTGCTTCTTCAATTTATCTGACTTCCAAAGCCCTTTTTTCTCCATAGTATGAAATGTCTCAATGTACTGGTATTGCACAGAATACACTTTGAGGGACCCAAGTTCATATGGTAGCAAAAGCTTAGGAAGAACTTGAAAAGGAGAAGTTCATTTTGTGAGAAATCAGGGAAGCAGGCTAAGAATGTGTTAGGGGCCTCACAAGAAATACATTGTGCTGAGCTGGATTGCCTGCGAGGCGGGCGGAAGGAGCCCCGGGCCTGATCTCTGAGATGTCCGTGGGGGTGGGGGGTGAAGCGGGGCCCTCTGCCCAGGGAAGGCTCAGGAATCCCATCTCTCCTGTGAGCACCAGGAACAGCTGTGCTGTACACAACTGGTGGCTCACCCGGGGAATTGTGTTTCCAGCACCACGGTGTTGCAGAGCATGAAGCTGGGGGTGGATGTGAACCGCCACAAAGAGGTCATTGTTAAGGCCATCTCTGCTGTCCTGCTGTTGCTGCTCAAGCATTTTAAGTTGAACCACGTCTACCAGGTACCTGCAGGGTCTTCCTTCCCGTTCACTGGGCCAGGGCCTCAGACAGTGAAGAACCGAGGCCTTGACCTTCAAACCCCCTTGAGCTCTGCATGAATGTTTTAAGACACAGTCCTCTGACCAAGCCCTTTTATCATTGGAGGAAAGAGGGTGAGGTCCTAAAGGGCATGCTTATTCTTTTCTGTTTGTTCCAGTTTGAATACATGGCCCAGCACCTGGTGTTTGCCAACTGCATCCCTTTGATCCTAAAGTTCTTCAATCAAAACATCATGTCTTACATCACTGCCAAGAACAGGTGATAAGGATGAGGGAGCAGGAAGGGGTGGGTATGGCCAGATGGCAGGGCTCCTGGCTGGCCTCTCCGCCTGAGCCCGTTCAGCCCCTACAAGCCAGCGCTCTGCCCGGCCTCAGGACACAGAGAGGAACGAGACACGGTCCCTGCTGTGGAGAATGCCAGTGTGTCGAGTCTGAGTGTAGCCACTCCAGTGACACAGGTGACTCCGTCTGTGCCCGCGTGGGAGGGTTCTCATCCAGGGCTCCAGTACTGGCCTCACCGTTTGGTGGTGTTCTGAGGAGACTGGCCAGGCCTCCTGCTCTCTGAGGGCCTCCGCCATGTGCACTGTAAGGCCCCATCTGCTCTTACCCCTGCCCCCCTCGCCTGGGCCCGCTGTGTTTGATGGTGCACCGCAGCGTGAGCTCTCGGCCAGACACTGTCCCCACTAGGGGCTTGGCGTACATCAATTGCCTTGAGAAATCTTCCCCCTGGCCCCAGGCTCGTTGCTGTGGGGAAGGCAGGGTCTCCGGACCTTACAAGATGGCGGGATGATCTCTGGCCATAGAGGGACCCTACAAGTTCTCTGGTAGCAGGGATTTCATCTCTTGTAGCTGGGGGGGCGAGGGGGGTGCACACAAGGCAGAGTCCTGCTTCCACTCCCAAGTGAGGGAGGAAGGCCGGGAGCCAGCCCTGTCGCAGCTGCTTCACCAGCCTGCAGCCTTTGCTCAGGGTGGGCGCCCAGCTTCTCTTGCTCTCCGCAGCATTTCTGTCCTGGATTACCCCCACTGCGTGGTGCACGAGCTGCCGGAGCTGACCGCTGAGAGTCTGGTGAGTGGCTGTATGCTTCCCCGGCCGCTCCTTCGGCTGAGGGGTGGTGGTGGAGGGCCTGCCTCCCCTGACACAGGGATAGAGGTGTTCACATGGGAGGTCACTGTTGAGGACTGGCTTTTAAAGCACCGAAATGGCATAGAGGGGCCAGAGGAGGGAGCTTGCCGAGGGGAAAGATGTGGATATAGGGAGTGGTTCATCAGGAGCGTGGTCTTCAGGGGCTGGTGACCCAGGGCTCACCTGGTCGGGTGGCTTTGCTCTCCCACACTGGATCTCCGTGGGGCACAGCTCTGAGGGAGCTGGGTGCAGATGCCCCAGCTGTGGGGGCTAAGGGCACAGTCCCCAAAATCATGCTCCACATTTCCTGCAGAAAAGTTCTAGGGAGCTCCCTTTCCCCTGCCAAGCTCTGGGATGGAAGTCCTCCTGGGCTGAGGAGCGGAAGGCCCGGCAGTTCCGAGAGAGGCGTGTGGGCTGTGCACAGCTGCTGAGCACGCTGCAGCTGTGAGGGTTATAACTGTTCCCGGGTTCTCCCTGCAGGAGGCAGGTGACAATAACCAGTTTTGCTGGAGGAACCTCTTTTCCTGTATCAATCTGCTTCGGATCTTGAACAAGCTGACAAAATGGAAGCATTCGAGGACCATGGTGAGCTAGTGCAGTCAGCGGGCACACAACTTGGAAATCAAGACAGAGGGCCACACCCCGTGTCCCCTCCCAGGGTGTCCCCGGGGCAGGCTTGCTGCTGCCCCTACCCCCTTCTCACCCGACTCACTGTTGCCACGTCCTTGCATTTAACGGCTCATTCCTGGTTCCTCGCTGAGTTGAACTGGAAGCTAGAAGAGGCTCAGTCATGCCCTGAAGCCAGTGGACACTTAGAGAAGGGATTTTTCTATGTCCTCTTAATATCCAGTGGTGACACAGCCAGGATTCTGGGAGTCTCCCTTAACCCTGAGTCTGAGGATGCCTTTGGGGTGGGGAGGTCCGTGGATCCTCGGAAATTTTACATACATGCGCATAGGAACGTTCCCGGTGAGCGAGTTCACGGCTTCCCTCAGATTTCACGATGACCCACGATTTTAGTGGTGGGAGTCCACATCCCAGGAAACCCCTCCGTCTGGGGCCACGGAGATGGTCTGTTCCCCTGCCTGTAACCCCAGAAGGGGTAAGCAGCAAGGTGGTCGTGCAGGTGTTGATCTCTGCCCTCTATCCGGCCCTCTCGTGGCCCTTCCAGATGCTGGTGGTGTTCAAGTCGGCCCCCATCCTGAAGCGGGCCCTGAAGGTGAAGCAGGCCATGATGCAGCTGTACGTGCTGAAGCTGCTCAAGGTGCAGACCAAGTACCTGGGACGGCAGTGGCGGAAGAGCAACATGAAGACCATGTCTGCCATCTACCAGAAGGTGCGGCATCGGCTGAACGACGACTGGGCATACGGCAATGGTAAGGCTCTGGCACGAAGCTGAGGGGGCGCCTTTCCCTCCGAGGAACCCACGGAGTCCAGTTCCTGCTTCTCTAGCATCCAGATAGGAGCTCCAAGAACGACTTTGAGAAACTGCCTGGGATTGGCGCACGTGATCACACCCCATTCCTCTGTCCCCTGGAAGGTGTTCCTTTTCCAGAAACTGTCACAAGACAGTTGCCCATCTTTTCTCTCCCTACTCTCACTGCCTCGGTTCTGACCACTGAAATTCTCACAGACCCTGATGGCTTCCTTGGCCCCCTTTTCTTCCCCTCTGTCAGTGCCTCAAACTGAGCCCCAGTGATCTTTTTAAAAAATTTTTATTTATTTAAAAATTTTTTTTTTTAAGATTTTATTTATTTGTCAGAGAGAGAGCACAAGCTGGGGGAGCGGCAGGCAGAGCAGGGGGAGAGGGAGAAGCAGGCTCCCTGCTGAGCAAGGAGCCCGATGTCAGACTCGATCCCAGGACCCTGGGATCATGACCCGGGCCGAAGGCACTTAACCGACTGAGCCACCCAGGTGTCCCCCCAGTGATCTTTTTGAAAAGCAGATTCTGTGGTGCTAACTCCCTGAGGAAAATTCTTCATTAGCTTCTGATTTCCCTTAGAATTTGAGCCAAACTCTAAAGCAAGGCATGTGAGGCTGGCCCAGTGTCCCTTCCCCTCCTGCGTAATCTGATCCAGCTTCTCTTCAGCTCAGCCTCCATCACACGCAGGGATCTTGGCCCATTAGCCGCATTGTCCCCCATGTTTCTTGCTCCTGGCAGGGCGCCTCCCTCGTACCTGTAACTGTTCGGTATCCACATGTGTTCTTCCCGTCTGGGCGGCTGCCCCGGCCTCCAGGCAGAGTGGACTCTTCCTGGGCTTTCCCGAGCACGCTGCCACGCCGTTCTGGTTTCTTGCCTGCGGCCGCATGGCCAAACAACCACATCAGCACCCCAGTGCCCTGTGAATTTGTGTGGAGCCGGAGTGGCCCCCAGTCCCTGGTCAGGGCACTGAGAGAATGAGCAAATGAGGGGCTCTGCGGCTTCCTGCCATCCATCCCAGAGAGCCAGGGAGAATGTGACTTCAGAGAAGCGTGTCATTCCTGTGGCTCTCCCTGGCTGGGTCCCCCCCGCCCCGAACTGCAGTGTGGCCTCTTTCTCTGTAGATCTGGCCTTTCTCTTTTCACCTGATTTTCCTTTGTATCGAAGTAAAAAGTCCTGTCAGTCTTCCTGAGGATGGGGATTGGAGGTCTCCTGCTTGGGGCTGACAGCATTTTGAGCCAGGGTCAGCCTGGCCCCGAGCTTCAGTGAACCCAGAGGGGAGCTGCCATGAGGGCTCGGCTCCTAAACATGTCTTCCCGCTTTGTCCCAGATCTTGATGCCCGGCCTTGGGACTTCCAGGCAGAGGAATGTGCCCTCCGTGCCAATATCGAACGCTTCAACGCCCGGCGGTATGACCGGGCCCACAGCAACCCAGACTTCCTGCCTGTGGACAACTGCCTGCAAAGTGTCCTGGGCCAGCGGGTGGACCTCCCTGAGGACTTCCAGATGAACTATGACCTCTGGTTAGAAAGGGAGGTCTTCTCCAAGCCCATTTCTTGGGAGGAGCTGCTGCAGTGAGGCTTCTGGGCAGGGGACTAACAAGGAAAGAAGAGCTGACCTGGAGGTGCCCCAGGGGCTGTCCTGGTCCGTGGCTGTAGTGCTCCCACCTCCCTCCAGGTGGCAGCACAGCCCCACCGTGCCCTCCCTAGGCCGAGCTGGGCTGCCGGAGGGGAGGCCAGATTTGGCCCCTCGTTGATTCCCAGCGTCCTGCTCCGAGTGCAGTCTGCTCTCTGCTTGGGGTCCTCTCTTCCTTCACTCCTCCCCACCCTCTTCTCTTGGACGTGGTTGGTTGCAGCTCATTTCTCATTCAGGCCAAGGCTGGGAAAAGCTGGGGTGGGCTGGGAAGCTCTTGCATCTGAATTGCAGGGGTCGTGCTGACTCTTCCCGAGACACACAAATCCTTGGCATGTCAGCCTGCCAAGGAGGAGGGTCAGGGCCAGAAAGTCGGAATCTTTGGTTTTGCTTTGAAGGTTTCTGATGTCATTCCAGCCTGCTGCTAAGTTTCATCCAGAAGCAATTGCAGAGGCTCCTACAGCTGCCTCAGTGCTTTCATTTTGGGCAGGGTTAGGGGGTAGGAAGAGAAGCTTCCCTTAACCAGAGGTGCCATTTTTCCTCTTGGTTTGCGAGGGTCTGTAAATACCTATATATAAATCTCTGTGTATTCTCTTGTGTCATGTGGGGGTTTTTAACGTGTTTGTGTATTCTGTTTACATTAAAAGGAAGCAAAACCAATCCCCATTGCCGTGTCTGCGGGAAATACGGCCCCTGAATATCTCCTCAGGTCTAGAAAGTGGCTTCTCCTGCCAGCATTGATGGGTCAACCCACTTGTTCCCTGCCAGGCTGCCTGCCTTTCCCACCTGAGGGGGAGAAATGGGGAGTTGGCACTTATCCAGAGGGTTTTCTCCCCACATCAGTCTGGAATCACTTCAGCCCAGCTCCAGGGTTCCGGGCTGCTGGGGTGACAAGTTGTCCTGTACCCCTGGGTTTGATGTAATTGCAGTAGAAGCCCCAGGCATCTCTGGATCACACTCCGGAGTTGGCCCCCACCAAACCAATTTCAGTGCTAGCGAGGGAGGGGCTGGGTCAGAGAGGGGGGTTGGCTGCTATAGGCCTAGCAAGGGTAGGTGGTTGGGACTAAGAGGAAACCTCTGTGCCCAGAGCCTGGGGCAGCGGTCAGCTTCACGGTGGGAAGGAGTGTGTTGGGGGAGCCCACGTTGCTGGGGAAGAGGCAAGGAAACTCTCTGTGGTAGGTGTCAGTTTGAGGTCTCGTGGATCCTGCACCTGGCCCTCAGATCCCTGGACACATCTGCTTTCACCTACTTCCATTTGGAGGCGCTGTTTCTGATGCAGGTGATATGATAGGACTGTTCTCTTTTCAGAATTACTTGAAGGTCCCTTATCTTACCTGTAGGCCATGTGTATGAGGTCTTAAGGCTCTGAGGGGTCTTGGCTTACAAAGGAAATGTACTCTGGGGAAAATCTCCCTTTTGTTGGTTCAGTGCCTGCCTGGCCTGGATCTTGGCTGAGCCTCAGTGTAGGCCCCAAGCTGGGCTTCCAGGATAAGTCTGTATGATTTGGAGCAGCAGGGACAAAGCCAGCACTGTCCTTTTTCTGTAAGTCACACAGCCTCTGAGGTGGGAAGTCCCTGTGACTGACTGACTTTTTGCCCCTCAGTAACTTGCACCAGACAAGGGAATCTGACACGATTTGTGTGTGCGTGTTGGGTTTTCTACTGTTCCTTGCCAGGACCGATAGGAAGTATGTATCATGAGATTTTAGTTTGGGTAAGATAGATTTTCACATTCATACTCCACCAGGCAGCCTGGCTCATTGAACCAGCTTGTCTGAAGTTTTGCTTCCTTCCCCTTTCCTGAAGCTTCACTTAATCAGAGGTGCAATTTTTTCCTCTTGGTTTGCAAAGGTCTGTAAATGCCTATATATCTAGTTTATATTTCAGTTTGTACAAAAAAGAACACAGATTATCAAAGCTGCAAGGGCCATGAAGCCTGAGTGGGCGGGTGAATCCCTGCATCTGTAGGCCCAGGGCTGGCCCAGGAGAGGAAGCGCCTTTTCCCAGCCACAGAGTGTGCTAAAGCTAAAGTGGCCACGCCATCTCTGTGGTTTTCTTTCTCATCTGGGTCCCGAGATGGGCAGGGTACATGAAGGCCCTTTGTAAATAGTTGAGTTACACAAAATGTTGGTTATTGCTAACCAGGCTCAAGGTCCAGGGCTCCTTCCATCCACTGAGGGATGGGTTACCTTGTGGCCGTATCATCTGAGGGAACTGGCAATCAAGAGCGTTACCACCTACTGGGTGTCACGTAGTTACCAGGCCCAGTACCGATGCTTCTTGAAAGTTCATTTTCCACACAGGAGCCAGCCAGTAGTGCCAGCCAGTGCTCTGATGTTATTGTTTATAATAACCCTGAAAGGTACCAGCGTTGCAGGGCCTGTTTTGCGCATGAGAAGTGGGCACAGAAAGGGTAAAGAACTTGCCCAAGGTCACGAAATAATGAGAGCCAGAGCCTGGATACAACCAAGGTCTCTGCAAAGTGTATGTCCCATGGCCCCCCTGCCCCAACACACACACACCCTTTCTCTAATGAATCATTTTGATTCCCCGGCACTTACACCAGTGCATTCATTTGCTCTTTTATTCCCTTCAGTCAGTACTTAATATTTGCTCAAGCATGGTCCTTGGCAAGGAGATTGTTGGCAAATGTCCGCTAGGCCTTGCCCTGGCTTCTAATGTGCCCCAAATGTGCCCTCGTCCAGGTGGTTTGGGGGCTGTCGCTGCCACCTTCCCTTTCCGCCTGAGCCTGGGCGTCTTGCTCTCCTGGGGCCCAGAGGACTCGCGTGTGGCTGCCCCACCGTTCCTGTTAGGCTTCTGTGCCGGGAGGCTGGCTTCCTGTCCTCTCATGAACCGAGGCCGGGAAGCAGTACTTGTACCATTCATTTGTCGCTCAGCACGGTCAGCCTCGGGCTGCAGGCTCGCATGTACTCACTGAAGGACCTTGAGCTCATCAAGCTCGACGCCTCAGTTGGCTTATCTGTAAAAACTGGTTTAATAACAGCAAGGTGGTCATGAGGGCTGAATAAGATAGTGGATAATGGCTCTACGGACCTGGCTGAGGAGGGACAGCACGGCTTGTAAGTGACAGCTATTCGTAGTCCTGCTAAGGGCCCTTCCAACTCTAGCCCACTCTGGATTTGCTTCCACTTCCTGAATCCCCTGGAAAAGAGACCACCCCCGCCTTCAAGGGCCAGAACAATGTCTTAGGGCTCCTCCCGTGCCTCCTCCTGAGCCTACAGAAGGCTTTCAAAAGTCAGCCATTCACCCAGCCACCCTGCTGTCCTACCCTGAAGGCCTCTTCTCTGGGCCAGGCCTCGTTCCAGAAGCCCTGGGCGTCCAGATGAACAGAACACCACACTCTCACTTTCCTTGTCAGTCGATAGACAGGTGGCTACAAGAGCAAGCGAGAGCAGTAACGTGGTGGGCACCGAGACAGACAGCCGCGGGGCCACCTGGGCTCTACCGGCCCCAGCCAGTGCCCTGGAGAAGAGACTGGGCGGGGGAGGCTGCCGTGGGTGAGGGGCGAGCGCGGGGGCTCTGAGAGCATTGCCCCTGGGGAGAATGGCGAGGATGCGCCTGGGGCAGAGGCTGGGCCTGATACAGGGAGTGCCCGGCTCCTGGCGAGGTGGGGCCGGCTCGGTTCCTGTCTGGGGCTGCAGAGGGTCTGCACTTCAGGGCTGTAATTCAGGTTGATGTGTAAATGCCTGGGGGGAGGTGGGGAAGGAAGATTGAATGCCTCTCATGAGAAGCATTTCCTCACACCGGACTGAGCCCAGAAGCCTGGACTGAAGGGCCCGTTAGCGAGGGCTCTCCGCTCTGGGCCTGGGGTCTGTGCCCCTGCCAGCACCAAGATTTAGGGCTTCTCTGGGTGGCCCTCACTGGGGCAGAGCGGGGCCTTAGCAAAAGGACATTGAGCCTAGCAACTCTCTTAAATTTGGGATTTCAGGTGGGGCCACTTCCCCTTTCCTTTTCCAGAAGGGGAGGAGCATAGCTCCCAGCCTGGCCTGGGGCCTAGGTTGAGAGCTGAAGTTACCGCTGGAGTGAGGCTGGGGGCAGGGGCATCTGAAGACCTGGGGGCTGAGTCTTAGGGGTGAGATGCCTAGAGTGTGGAGGAGGAGGGGAGGATGGGAGGATGGGAGGATGGCTAATGGGAAGCAGGTGGAAGGGCTGCCTGTGTCCCAGCCGAGGGACAGGCCGGCTGGGATGGCGCAGTCAGTGGGAGAAGCCATCAGCTCACAGATAATCCCAGGGAACAGGCTCCGGGATGCCCATTCATATTCATTATGTGTGAAGTGGGCGGTTGTAAAGTTAGCTTTCTCTTCATTTAGCTGTCACTGGACAGAGAAATATGAGCTGTGGGCAGATGCCCCTGGATGGGAGCCAGTAGCTGGTCTCTGGCCTCCCCGTGCCCTCCTCCACCAGGGCCTCCCTCCCGCATGGTTCACTCCCAGCCTCCGCCTGCCTCCACTCCTGCTGCGTGGATCTCTCTCTCGGCTTTACTGTCTTCTCTCATCCCTCTCTTCCCCACTTCTGCTTCCTTTGCTTTCACAGATCCTTTCCTCCCCGTGCACCGCCCCGCCCACCCCCCCACTGAGCTGTGTGAGAGAGGGAATTGTTTTTTTCTTGACCATTGTTCTATCTCTGGCACCCAGCACAATGCTTGGCACAGAGTGGGCACTCAATAAATATTTGTAGAACAAACTAATCTTTCTGCATCTCTCTGACTTTGTGACACAGAACTCCAAAATCTTGCTGACCACTCCTTGGGTGAAGAACCTTCTAGTGCACTGGTCTTAGCCCTGAGTTAGAAGTGTGGGTTTGAGGCCCAGTCATTATTGACCAGCTGTGTGAAGGGGGTTGTGCTCCTCAGAGGTGCTGGGGCTGCTTCTCCCTATTGCTCCCACTCTTCCCTTCCTGATGCACACAGGGCTCTCGCGTGGACCTCAGAGCCACCAGCATCAGTACCGAGAGGAGAGAAATCGCCAGCAGCCAGGCCCTCGAATGAAGGGAAGGGAAGGAAGACACTGGTTTCTTCTGAGGGGAGCTTGAGCCTGGTCACACTGTCTTAGAGGAAAGTCTGATCTGATGGGGCACTTGCTCCCTCTGGGAATGAGCGCAGCACTGGTGTCTTTGTGTGCTCGGGTTTCTCTGTGCCTGGAAGAGGCTCCTAGCTGAGGCTGAGCTCTGAGCAATGTGGTTGTGTTTACTGGGAGGGTGGGAGGGCCAGGCCTGCTTTCTTCCTGCCTTCTAGGCTGCGGAGATAAGGCAGAAAGTGGGGATGAAGGGTAGAATGGTTAATACTCTGAAACCACAAGAAAGAGTCCTGGCTTTCGTCTCTGCCCCACAGCTCAGACATGCCCCTGGGGCATCTGGGAGAAGGGGGTTGCCCCACCCCCACGGTTCTGGCCCAGGGGAGCTCAGAGCCCTCAGGGGACTCCCCCATCTTTCATTCCAGCCCCCCTTCCACTGCCAGTTCAGCCACAAGTTTATCTCCGCCTTCCCACCCCAGCTCCCCATTTTCCCTTCCACATGGGCCCAGCAGCCCTCCACCCGATCCTAGGCAGGTGAAAGGGCCAGGCATGGCGTCTATCGGCCTTGGGGGCCCTGCTGCAGGCCCACCTTCCCCTAGCCCCCAGGATCCCCGCTGGCCCCTTAGGAGGGCCTGCCCAGCCTGAACCCTGGGCACAGACCAGCTAACCCATTGTCAAACCCTGAGGATACACAATCACCTGGTCTAAAAAATACTGCCATCTTTATTATTATGCTGGGCAGCACACTTTTTTTTTTTTTTTTTTTACAAAAGTGGGGTTTGAGATCTCAGGGGCTTAGAATCCGTGGAAGTCTGTTTTATTCTTACCAACATCTAATGAGTAAACCAGGGGAGCTTACAGTTTCTATGGCATAGCTCTGGCCTGAGCCCACAGAAGAGAATCCAAATATTTGGTGGTTTCTGGTGGACTTTCTGCCCCCTTGGAGGGGGTGAGGACTCCATGGCATGTTGGGGGCGGGGGCACAGGGCAGGAGTAAGGGGTGGCTGGAGCTGGGCCTCCCGGCACCTTTTCTGGCACCTTTTCCCCAGTGGCCTTCAGGCCCTTGTGAACTCCGGACACCGAGTGCTCGCCCCCTGGTGGTGCGAGGAGGGAGTCAGGCTGGCCCTAGATGCTCATGCTGCAACACTGGTTTCCCCTTAGTCACAAAGAGCTTCTCCTGGTTCAACCTGTGTCATCCTCTTGTTTTCCTGGGTTCCCTGAATGAGGAACCAGTTCAGCCATTTCAGCTGGAGGGATGACACTTAAACTTGGACAAGTCTGCAGAAGCAGGGCAGTGTCTTCCTCCCTCCAGCCCAGAGTTGGATGAAGGGACCCAGTGTGTGGTAGGAAGAGTCCTACCTGCTTTGCAGCCCCCTTTGTCCTGGGCAGCCCCATCTTATTTTAAGAGAAAAAAAAAAACTCTAGCTTGTTCCCTGCGGGAGGCTGAGGATCCCAGCTGCTCTGCCTGGGCCTCCGGGAACCGACTGGGGCTTGGAGGCAGAGGTGTGCCCTCTCTGGCATCCAGGCTGGGGTGGGGTGGGAGCAGCTGAGAACAGAAAAGGGGGGTGGGCAGCTTAGTCTGCATGTCCACGCAACCGATCACGTGGTCCAGTTCAGTAGGCTGGGTGGCTCCTTGGACTTCACCCTGAGCGAGATGAGGCTTGGAGACTTATAGTCGCCATCTGGGGTAGGCTCAAAGCTGTGGCCCCCCAGGGCAGGGGAGAAGCCATGGATGGAGTAGATGCCAGGGTGGGCTCCAGGGGAGGCTGGCACCCCCATGAAGCCAGCCACATTCCCATGAGAGTGGGAGTATGGAGACATGCACGGGGAGGGCATGCCCTCTGGAGACACGAGGCAGGGGCCGGGGGGGCTCCCGGACCCTGGACTGGGCCACAGGGAGTTCTGCAGCTGAAAAGAGAGACAGAAAAGAAGGCCCATGAATCAATAGCCCAGGGGCTGCCTCCCTTACCTGGGGGTTCTGTCTTTGCCCTTAGGGCTCTGGAAACTTAGCAGGAAACCCCCACTTGGCCCAGGTCTAGAATCTGCTCCCGCCTACCCCCCGACACTTGAAATGGCATCTCCGGAGCCCCCTGCCACTGCACCTCCAAATGAGGTTTGCTTCAGTACCAGCTGTTCGGCATGCCTCATTCACGAGACAGGGAGGAGCCTCACTTTGCAGAGGAGAAGTGATTTACCCATGGTCCCGCAGAGTCCTAAGGCTGCTTCAGGTCTCCCTGGGGCCCACGCTACCCTGGGGGATGTGGCCAGGCCCTGACGCAGGGCCAGCTGGGGTCTCACCTGCAGGTGGCTGTCTGTTCGGGGCAGCACAGAGATGTCATAGGCAGATGTGAAGGGGTTCCGCCCCTCCTGGATCTTGCCATAGCGCTCGCGCTTCCGCCACTTCGCTCTGCGGTTCTGGAACCAGACCTGGGGAACGAGGGGAGAGGCTGAGTGAGTGACAAAGCGGCCCTGAGGAATAGAGCCCCCTGGGGAGAGAGTGGGTGGGGGTGTCCTGCAGGATGGGGAGCTGGCTCTGGCTGGAGGAGCTTGAGCTGCAGCAGCCTGTAAATCCCTATTCTCCGGGCCAGGGGAACCGGGGGGCGGGGGGTGCTTCTTGGTCCCTTGGGCCACCCCTCACCCCCCAGTCACCAGGCTGAGTCACTCTCTTGGTTCTCCAGCCCGCCTGTGCCACTAAGGGTGTCGTGGGATCTGTGGCCGCAGAGGCTCTGGGCACTGGCTAGGCGTGCCAGGGCACAGACCTCTAGCCCCCCTGCCTCATCTCCACTCCCGGGCTCCCTGCCTCCCAGCCTCAGGTCAGAGCCCAGCTCCTTAAGAAGGCCCCTGGGCACTGAGCCCTGCCCTTCTCCGCAGCCTCACCCCCAGCCAGGCAGTATGGCTTGATTCTTCCTACTTGCCTCTCAAGCCAACTTGCCTCTGAACGCATCCGCTACCTTGTGACTCCCTGCCTCGCCTCAGCCTTCCCCTGCCTCGACTTACCGCCTCACCCTGACACACACGCATATGTTGCCGCTGGCCTGGGTGATGCGCTGGCAACTCTCTCGTACTCACCACACCCTATTACCATTGTCCCTTTTGTAATCTGTGTCTCCCACTCACTTGGGAGCTCCCGGCAGGTGAGGGTGGCCTCCCTGTGTCGTGCGCATCTGTGTACCTGTCTGCGCCAAATCTGTCACTTGGCGGAGGCCCTGCGGCTGTTACATTTATGGTACCAGTGCACGCGTTTTGTATTTCTGTCATTTAATAAACATTTCTGTGTCAGGCTCTGGGCTAGATGTTGGCAATATCAAAACCAAACCAAACCAAACCATCCCCTTGCTTTCCAGGGATCTGGCTGGGAGCCATGACAAAAGAAGTTGTGTGTGTGTGTGAGAGTGTGTGTGTGTGAAAGGAACCCCACCTCGGCCCCTCACACATGCCCCCATGGTGGCCGTTCCTACCGCTCAGACAGGTGAAGCCACGACAGTTAAGGAGCTTGGCAGACCCCGAGCCCCCTAAGCCCCAGATGCAGAGATCCCAGAGCAGGCCTGGGGCAAGGTCAGGGACGGACCATCCCACCTGCCCAGCTGCTGGGCCTTTCCTTCTCTATCCTCCCTCCCCCTCGGGTAGATGAAGGAGTCTGGACTGCTTCACCGGGCATTCCTCCCCGTCATCCCTGGTTGTCTCTGCAGCGCCCACTGTAGACTTCCGCCTGCACTTGGGCCTTGCCCTCTGCACTGTTCTGTGTGGTGGCTTACTGCTCTCCATGGGGTAGGGCCTGCGGGTGGCTGTCACATTCCTGTCAGAGAAAAGAGCCTTGTGGCCGCCCCTGCACCCCTTCGGCGTTGAAAAGGCCTGGGAGAGGAGTGGGGGGCTGTGCTCCACCTCTCCAAGGCAGTTCCATGGCCACGGCTATCCAGAGGCTCGCAGACGGTCCGGAGACTTGATGTTCCGGACTTCCGTGGCTCATGGACTCTGGGACTGTTGTGAATGCTCGGTCTCTTACCCTGCTGGCCCAGGTCCTGGGGCGCCCTGGGAGGACAGTCCTAGAAGTGTGTTTTGGGTGCTGCCTGGGAGGAAAATGAAAGCAGGAGGACCCAGAAGAGAAGGGGAAACAGCCTAAGCCCCTCTGGTCCTACGCTGAATCCAGCTGTAGGGCCTTCTCTGCTAGAAGGCAGCCGGCCTCTTCGTGGACTGGCCTGCCAGGCCCCATACTCGGCCAGAGGGAGGCCCCATACAGGGTGTGCTATGTATGAGCTCTGTCCCTATTAGGTCTCCTCTGTGGTGGGAAAGAGAATCTCCTCTGTCTAGAAGTCACCTCCTCACCTCTCCTGAGAAGCCCAAATCCCACCCCTCTCCCAGTGCCTCCTACTTGGCCTCAGGGAGCCTGTTGTGCCTCATGCCAGTTCAAAGTCAAAGCAAGGCAAACAACCACCATCTTCCTCTTGGGCCAGGCTTTTACTGAAGCCTCCTTCCCCATCCCCACCCTCCGCTTGCCACCTTCATGTTCTTTCTCACTTCCGACATGTCTTGGACGTGGACTTCCCTTCTCCCTTTCCCCTGTTCTCAGCATCCCTCCGTCCCTTCACCCCCAACCCCTACCTGAAGCTGGCCACAGCCTACCCAGGAAGCCCTGCGGCCTGATCTCTGCTGGGGAGAGTTGGTTGGGTGGGGAAGGGCCCCTGGCCAGGCTCTCCCGGCTGGGGTCTGGGAGCTGGTGGGCCTGACAGTCGCTGGCTCGGGATGGCTTTGAGCATCACTGGGTCTCAGACCCCCCCCCCTCGCAGTGGGGACCCTCCTGTTCTGGGCAGCTACCTCGGGAGTAGCCCGATGTGTTCAGCATTTCACTGCTTCCGAAAGGCTGTCACATCTGTGATCCTCAAAGACCATCCTAGGTAGGAAAAGCGAGACTGAGAGATCCAAGGACATGCCCCAAGTCACCTGGTCAGCTAGAAGTGGCAGAGCAAGGACTCCCAGACAGGTAGGTCTTTGGAGTCCCAGAGGCCACCACCCCCATGAGGCACTTGGGCTGCAGGCCCGTGGCGGCAGCGGAGCTGGGCATGGAGGGGAGCCGAGGGCAGGCACCTGGGAAAGGCAGCTCTCCGTGGCACCAGCACCCACCTCTCCCGGCCCTTCCATGGCCTGGCCCGTGGTCGGGGTGGGAGAGGCAGCCAGAGAGGCCCACGCCCGGGGTGCCCTCACCTGTACCCGGGCCTCGGTGAGGTCCGTTCGCAGAGCCAGCTGCTCCCGGGCATACACATCAGGGTAGTGGGTTTTCTGGAAGACTCTCTCCAGCTCTTCCAGCTGGAACGTGCTGAAGGTCGTGCGGTTACGGCGCTTCTTGCTCTTGTTCTTGGCCAACTCCATGGAATCAGGCAGTCCCGGGGACAGAGGGACACGCAGGCTGGCCAGACAAGGGCCTGGGGAGTCTTGCAAGTTAGAGGGCCCGTCTCTGGGCCCCCCTCGGCAGTCCAAGGGCAGCTGGGGGAAGCTGGCAGCTTTGGAGGCCTTCTCCTCGGCTGCAATGGAAAACACAAAAAGGAGGATGGAAACCGAACCAGGGGGTTTTGTGGGTGGACTGGGGGAGGGGGCAGGACGTTTGACGCTTCAGTGCCCGCCTCCCCCTTCCTTTCTCTTCCCTCATCCCAGCAGCCACCCTCCATGGGAGCCTGGCATTCGGAGGCCTGCTTGCTGAGCCTCCAGCTGGGGAGGGGGCCCTGGGGAACCATGTGCTCTGTGGTCTGGGCGGATCTGCTGGGGCCAGACGAGGGTTCATTTCGGGGAAGCGCTTTGTGGTGGTGTGTCCCACAGGGAGTGGGGGTGCCAGGATTGGCGCCATGGCAGGGCCTGGCGCGGAGGCGGGAGGAGGGGGTGAGCAGGGGGTGGTGGACGTCTCCCGCCCCTGCCAGGAAGTGCCTCCTTGGCCCTGGCTGTTGGGGGTGGGGGGAGGGAACGTGGTTCCCAGGTCCTCATGCCCCTGCCTCTGGTCCCAGGTCCAGGCAGGGGACAGACAGGGACACTCCGATCCCCTTTGGCTTGTCTGGCTGTGCCTCATTCTTTGGACCCCAAATCTCAGGGCAATGTCAAATCCCCCAGCCCTGGGGCGTGAAGGGCAAGATGGGGCAAAGAAGCGTCCAAAAAAAGATTGTTTCATTCCTCCGAAAACTGTGACGTTTGGGCCCAAGACTTGAGCTCCAGCATTAGAGTCAGGGCTTGGGGGACCAGTGTCGAAAGAGGACCCAGCTCCCAACCCCATCACTCTGGCCATGGACTGCCCCCTCCCTCCTCGGCAGTTTCCAATGGCCCCCCCACTGCCCATGATGAGCAAGCAGGGAGGGAGGACCTGACTGCAGCTGGGCACAGTTCCCAGCAGCCCCACTCTGACACGCTAACCCTCACTCGGCAGGCTTGGTGGAGCCCTGCCACAACCCGGTCATGGTGAAAAATAGGTCACCCCGATTGCTCCGCCCTCTCCTCTGGCGAGGCCCCCAGCGGCACTGCCATGAAATCTCCAGGAGTCCACTGGGACAGCAGGAGCCCTGCCACAAAGACGCCCCACTGACTCATGCAGCCTGGCCCTTGCCCTGGCCCATCCCCAGTAGGGGCCTGGGCCCCTGGAGGCCCAGCAGGCTGGCACCAGGAGGCTGTTTCCCCCTTGGGACTCGGTGTCAGGATCACAGCTATCATCAGGGAAGCATGGGACCAGGGAGATGGGATTCTCGGGCTCTGGCTCTGAAGAGTCCCTGTCTGCATTATGGAGGACAAGTCCGGCAAGGTCTCCCCCAGCTGGAAGGTGGTCAGGGACCTCCCAGGACCACCCAGGCTGTGCAGGAAGCTCCACGGCCTGGCAGAGTCAGGGGACCTGCCCTCGGGCACCAAGCTCACAGCTCGGGCGGAGCATCGAGGAGAAAGTGCGCCAGCCACTGACTTCCATTCTTGGCCCACATGTTTTGGTTCTAGAGGTAGTTCCATGGGCAGCAGCTTAGGGAGAAGGACTCATGGAAGCTGAGCCAAATAACTGAAAATGGTCAGGGGGAGTGGGGGACTGGAAGGGGACACCCCACATCTAGCAGGTTTGAGGGGGTGGTCTTGGAGTTCTGGGTTCAAAGGGAGGTCCTCCTGGACTTGAGGCAAAAAAGGGTGAGGGTGGCTCAGGGATGGGGATGAGGGGAGCATTGACATCACTACAGAGAGCCCTCCAAAGTTCTGAGGCTTTGCTCATCTGGCTCTTGGGCCCTCAGTGTCTGTCCAAACAGGATCTGCCCAGAGGAAGTGACTAGCTCTGGGCTCTGAGCGACCAGAGTAAGAGATAAAAGCACAGCAGGACTTTTCGGAATAGCCACCCGGAAAAGGCTGCTGGCCTCCGCTGGCCTCCCTCGCCTGCCCAGTCTACAGCCCTCCCAGGGGACCAGGGTACTTGTCCCCTCCTCATCACCATGGCCCTGAAACCTCCATCTACCTGAAGGACTCCGGGGAGAAGCCGGCATCCCCCTCTTTGGGAGGACAGGGGCACACCTCCTAGAATGTCTCCGGAAGAGCAAGGCACAGTGGAGAAAAGAGAGGAGGTGGGGTCAGCGAAGGGCAGCAGTCAAGGAAAGGAAGGAAAGGCAGCCCCAAGTTTGAGTCTGAGCTTGTAAACAGCAGGGTGCACCGGGAGGCCCCGAGCACTTTCCAGGTGTATGCAGGCTGTGTTTGGGGGTCACCTGCACCCGGTGGGGACACTGGGTGGTTAAGGGGGAGTGTTCGTGGTAGAGATTGGAATCCTGGGGCTCAGCACCAGGGGGTCCACAGCCCGCACAACTGCAGCACCGCGGCCGAGGTCCGGCGGGCCAGAAAGACAGGAGCCAGGACAAAAACCTCTGAGGAGGCCACGGTGTTCGGTCCCTGACTGGCTCCCACGCCCCGCTGCTCGCCCGCACCCTGGGACCGCCAGAGCCCCCCCCCCCCACCCCGCTAGCGGCTCGGGAGCCCTACCGCTCGCTCCGGACGCCAACCGGGAGCCCCACTGCCCTCTCAGCTAGCGTCCACTGAGGCCGCCGGGCCCACCCCCCGGTTTTCGGCCTCCGCGCGGTTTCCCACGCGATGCGCAGGGCTCGCAGAGGCCTGGGCTCTCGCAGCTGCGCAGCTCTGGCTGAAGCCGTCGTGTGCATAAACGCCGTGCGCGGGACCCCGGCTGGGCCTTGGTGCTCTCCCTAGAGTTTCCGGCTTTGGCCTAGACGCCTCAGCCGGCGGGGGGCCCCTGACTTGGAATCCTTCACGAGGTCTGCGGCCGGTCCGGTGAGCGCGGCCTTCGGTGCTCCGCTCTGGGCCTCCGAGGCGGCGGGCGCGTTCCCAGGTCAGAGAGCCAAGCCGGGGAGCGGACCGGGCGGCCCGCGGCGGAGCGGAGCGGGAAGGACCGGCCCGGCACTTCTCCGGCCCTCTGAGCAGCCGCGCTGCACCGCCAGGACGCGGCCGGGGTCCAGGGCAGGGCTGGGCGCTCTCGGCCAAGGGCGCCGCAAAGAGCGGGAGAAGCGCGCCAGGCTCTCCAGCGCGGGACTGCCCGGCCTCGGCGAGATCGCGCCGCAGATGGGGCGCAGCTGCACGCTCACTGGTTTGAACTGGAAACGCTCGGAGCCCGTCAAGTTAGAAGCAGGGAAATAAGGCGGGTTCCCCCTTTGCCGCCACTTCCCACCTCGTAGACTGCGTGGCCCGAGTCCCCCGGGGCCGTTCCTCCCCAGCAGCCCCGCTCCGCCGCAGGGACGCAAGCGGCCCGCGCTCGCCGAGTTGCGGCCCTGGGCACCCGCGAGGCGAGAGGCGGCCGGGGTCCCAGGCTCCGCTGGCACCCGCTGCTCCTGTTTTTCGTTTGGTCGGTCCTCCGCTCAACTGGAATCGTTAATTTTCCTCTCCCACTTGATTTTGCTGCTTTCTGCTCTGTTAGGATGTCCCTTTTTTCCTTTCATTTTTTCCCCTGCTTCTACTCTTCTTCGTCCTTTCCCTCCTTCTCCATTTACCCGCTTCGTTCGATGGTTTGATCCTGCGCTTGCTTTTTTCCTGGTTCTTCTGTTCGTTCTCCGTTTGTTTACTGCCGTTCTGCCTTGCTTGCCGACTTTCGTCTACCTCTCCTCGTCTCTCTCCTCCGTTGTTTTGTTCATTTTCCTTTTCCTTCTTTTTGGTGGTTAACACTCTTTGGTTTTACTTTTACGCATTTCGTTGCTGACACCCTCGCCGTCGCCGGGTCCCTCCACGCCCCGCCGCTCGTTCTGCCCCAGCGCTCTCCGCAGTGTGCCCCTCCTGGCGGCCCCGCGGTGCGTGCGGATCCCGCGCGCCCAGCAGGACGCGGGCCCGAGGGGTGGGTCCCGCCCGACGCGGCGCGCCCAGCCAGCGCGGGTACCTGTCCCCGGCGGTGCTCATGTGGCTGCGCGGCCGCCGCCGTCTGGCGGGGATCAGAGGAGCCAGGCCAACTGCTTTTCATTAAGTCCCAACTGTGGTTTTTATCAGGAGAGCCTCTTTCAAAGGGCACAGACACGAAGCTCCGCGGACTCGCTCATTTCCTCCGCTGACCCCCACACACCTCCCCGCCCTCCCCGACACACTCCCACCGCCCTGGGCGAAGGCCCGAGCTGCCTGGCCGCTCGGTGGAGGCCGGCGAGGCGCCAGTGGGTGGAGGCGGGTTGGGGCCGATCTCAGAGGATCCAGTCCTGGGCCTAAGGTGCGGGATGTGGCAGCGCAGATGGGGCGGGCGCCCAGACTCCTGCAGGTCAGCGGGTGCAGTGGGCGGCGGCAGGGCTGCGGGCCCGTGTGGCAGGCCCCGGCGTTCAGGCGCGTTCTCCGGAGATGGCGCGGTCCAACTGGCCTTGGTGCATGGGGCACCGGCCCAGGAGCCCGAGGCGCCTAGGGGATAGGCCCGCCCGGGGTGCTCTCGACGGCCCCAGCCGAGACGATCCAGTGCGAGGAAGCCAAGACTGCGAGAAGGGCGGCCATCACCGTGCATAACGACGGGGAGGCCAGGTTAGTCTGAGAAATAAGAACACAGTTATTCCGTATTGCGAACGGCCCCGGTACTGCGGGACCGGCCGCGGCCGCGCCGCCGAATGCCTAACGCGCCGGCAGCGCCTTCCCCACGGAGGCTGGGCCTGGGGGGATGGGGGGGCGGCGCGGAGAAGCCGGCGGAGGCCAGGCCGCAGCCCTCGGCTGAGTCCTGCTGGGCCACTCGAGGTCGGGGCCCAAGCTCAGGGCCCCGAACGGGCGCCACACACAAAAGCCGCGCTTCTCTCCCCGCATCGGGACCGAGGGCTTCGCGTGGCGCCCGGGGCCCTGGGCCCGGTCCGGGCTTCTGGGTCAGTGGCAGCTCCAGGCCAACTCCGGCCAAGCATGATTTCTCCTTCCCGCCTCCGGTCGCCTTCGGGCTTCACTGGGCCCGGGGCCGTCGCCGTCGCCGCTCCACCCTCGCGCGACCTCCCGCCTCCCGTTCCCGTCCCGGGAGGCACGGAGGGCTCTGCCTCCCGCGGGGCGAGGGCTTCGCCGGCCTGGGCCAGCGCCGGTGGGGCTTCTGAGGGAGCCGTGGCGAAGGGCTAGAGGGTCTAAAAGTGGAGAGCTGGGCGAGCGGGCGAGGGAAGCAGGGAGGCCCGGGCGGGCCGGGGAAGGGAAGGAGAGCGGGTCGGGGCTGCGCGCTACGCCCGCGCCGCGCGTTACCTTCCGCGGGGCCCTCGTAGAAGTGGCTGCCGTTGAGCGCCGGGCCGGGCCCGAGGTCCTGCAGGTACTTGGCGGGCGGCTTGGCCGGCTCTGGGAGGTAGGGCTCCAAGGGCCCGCAGGCCGGAAAACGGGTCAGGCGGGGGCCGCGGGGCGGCGCGGGGTGC